TGTACAGGGTCTCAAATGAGCATAAAAAGCTTCATTTAATTCCTTTTTTGGAATAAATTAAGTTCTGAGGGACCTAATAGCTAAAGCTTTTAGTGATAAGTATTAAATATATGTACATAATGTATCTACATGTATGTATGTATGAATTGATTCATATGAATAGGATATAAATATATCGTCAGACGTCATATATTCATGTGCAACATTTGTACATCATTTTTGAAATAAATGAGTACATATGCGAGTTTAGAACTCTAGATTACCTTGTGATGTTTTAAATACGTTAGAACGTATAAATGTCACCTTACCTTTACTTTGATTCGGTCCGGTTACCGGTAGGTTTCATAACTTATTGTTTTGTTTTTTAATATTCATTAAAACAAAAAACTCGAGTGCCTCATTTGAGGTGCAGTATTTAAAAAAAACAAACAAAAACCATATCCTGAGTCCCTGAGATAAATAGCCCTTTTTGTGTCATACTCTGTGGAGAAATCTTGAAACCATGTATATTCAAATATGTCAGAGACTCAGAGTTCAGACTTCAGACCCTTATCATACTTGCGCGTCATAAAAGCGTTTTTAATAAAAAATTATCAAAACTATATACGTTTACACTATTAAAAAAAAGTACTTGTATGATATGTTTTTTACTAGTACTGTAGCCCCTAGTGATATCAATAAAAGATGTTGTGAAAAGAAGTCTGTCGTTCCAGACTTCCAGTCTGTCGGTGTCGAGTTGTCGATTGTCAGTGTGAGATTGTGAGTGTCCATTGTCCACTGGCACAATGTCGGGGAGTCACTGTCAGGTTGTGACTGTGAGTCTGTCACTCCCCAGAGTCAGTAATTCAGTGCATACATAGCACTGTTTTGTTTAACTGGAGCACTGAGCAAGGGGCACTCAATCAAAAATATATCGTGAATCTTTTTTAAAAAATAAATATATAATTGCAAAATATTTTGTTTACTTGGTGATGGAGTGATGTCATTTTTTATATAAAAAGGGTTGATTGGATTGCACACATTCTTTTTTAAACCAAATATAAATACAAAAACGATGACAAAATCATCTGATAAATGGTGTAGCTATGATCGTTTATGACGTCACGCGTTCACGGTTTATGGTTCACGGACCACGGTTCACAGCCCACAGGAGGGGTTCATATCTTCAGAGAAGCGCGAATTAAGAAACTGACGTACATGCGAAGAAAAATTATCATTTTTAGAAATATAATGCTTATGTGTCTATGTGTGAGTGGTAATGTGTTATTCCACAGAAAATTGCTTATAAATACCAGAGGATACCGATTTGACTCGATCCTTCTCGGTTGTTCATCACACATGAAGAAACCCATTATCCAATCATCAACAATGTCAGCATCATCAGCTTCCATCCGTATGTTGCATTCTAAGGCACTCCACGCTGCTAAACCACAGTTGGCATCGATGTCTGCTTTTCTAGAATCATCATTCGCAAAGTCTCGGGAGACTATTGTCAATACAAAGACGCCGCTACAACACACTATGCGCAAGTCAGACAATGAGTCGTCAATATACCTGGCATCATCATTCCGGCGATAACGGGCTACTAAAAGTAACGCAAATATGTTGATTACATTATCGAAATTTATCAGCTGGCTCGGCCGTTCCCCACGTACTATTTTAAGCGTGACTCAAGGGGCAACGATCATTATGTTGGGACCTGGAAACGTAAAATAAAAACGATATACGAAGGGATCGCAAATTCTGAATCTTTATGTAATTTTGCCGAGCCGTCGCCAACTTAAGCGTGGCTTTACGGGCCACAATTAAATACTGGAATCTGGAAACGTATAATAAAGGCGTTCTACGGAAGGATCGCAAATTCTGGATCTACGTGTAACTGCTGAGCCGTCGCCAACGAACTGCAAATAGAATAATTAGAATAACGAAATAAAGGAAATGAAGCTCAGGGTATGTGCTTTATACCTAAAATCGCTATGATTATACAGGGCTTAAGGCCCTGTTTATAATTGAACGACTTGCTGGGACTGACTATACTGCACCCAACATACGGTATGAGATAAGAAGAACGTCATTCGACGCCCTTCTTATTGAAGCTTGTTGACTAAAGTGCGTCTCGAGTGACAACACAGATCACGAAAGTCTGATGTTGAGGACTGCTTCCCCCATAGTACGAAAGCAAATGATTTTGCACAAGAAGCATCAACCACAATTGAGCTATTTTAATACATTATGCATACGATGCGCGAGCGATTCGAGAAAAAAAACCCCGCATACAATGTGTTTGGGCTTATAGTATTTCGTCGATATGACAACTATAAAATTATACACACAGCAAACGGCAATATACAGACTACGGTCGGTATTCATTTGTCAACCTGATTGATTTCGAAGTGCGAACGATATATATATATCTATATATATATATATAATAAATATATA